CTGTTGCCATCCCTGTTTTACTGTGAGAAACCTAAGGCACAGAGAGATTAAGTCTCTTGTTCAAGAACACCCGAAGTAATAAATGATTAGAGTGGGATTTTAAACACAAGTTCCACTTAACCTCTCCCCTGTCCTGCTTCTGGACATTACAGTGTATTGAGCCGTCTTGCTATGTAACAGTGTCAATAAAGAACAAGAAGCTTTCGTATGAAAATTGTGAAATGGAAGGAAAAATGCAGTGCCCAAGATTTGCGGTTGACTTCACTACCTAAAAAGAATTCTGTCTTGGGTTCATCCCCTTCTCAGTCTCTGTGTTCTTAATCCCTAGTGAGCCCCTGGAAGTGTTCTTTGAGTAAAAGTTGGTTAGTCAGTGATGGAGTAGAATGAGAACTGATTTTTTTTTTTTAAGAACAGGAATTTTCAAGCTCCTTTAAGCTTTGTATTAGAAATATTCTTAGAATTTAGCCTCCATTTGTAACTCTTAGTTGTGACATATTTCTTAGGAAGATGGCTTTGAGACTATCAAAAAGAGTAGATAAGTAACCCTTGTTCTGGTTGGGTAATAATTTCTAAGATAAAAAAGAGGTACCTTAAATGAATACTTGTAATAATAAAATATTTTTAAGTTTAAAAAGACTGTTAAAATGATTCCTGTCCTTCTATCACTACTATCTTTGACTTTGCTGATTATAAGAAATAACAAGTCATTATGTGAAATATTTATTTAATATAGACATATTCTTAAGTAAAAATTAAGTTCTTTTATAATATCAAGCTAACCATAGTTAAAAGTTTGGACCATGGCCTTCATATTTGTAAATGTATGTATTAATCTGTGTTTTGAATATAAACTATCATTCAATATGTACATTCTTCTGTCAGTGCATGTAATTCTGCCTCTGCCTCTTTTTTTTTTTCTCCCAAGACAGGGTCTTGCTCTGTCGCTGAGGCTAGAGTGCAGTGACGTCATCATAGCTCACTACAACCTTAAACTCCTGGGCTCAAGCGATTCTCCTTCCTCATCCTCCCAAATAGCTGGGACTATAGGCATGAGCCACCACACCCAGCTAATTTTTAATATTTTTTTAGAGACAGGGCTCTCACCATGTTGCTCAAACCAGTATCAAACTCCTGGCCTCAAGTGATCCTTCTGCCTCGGCCTCCCAAAATGCTAGGGTTACAGGTGTGAGCCACCACACCTGACCTAGTTCTGTCTCTTTTATGACTACTTAAAATTCATTATATAGATCTACCATGATTTATTTAATCAATTTTCTGATGATGTATATTTAGGTTGTTTCTAATTTTTTTTTCTTACTAGGTAAAGTGGTGCAGTGGACATTTTGTTCATGTCATTACATGCTCAATTATTTCTTTGGGATAAATTTCTAGGAATAAAACTATTGAAACAAAAATTTGTACTTTTTCAATTATAAATTTTTATTTATAGCTTTTATGAAATTGAGCTACCAGAAGCTTTCACCAATTTATACTCCTGTCAACAATGGAGAGTGTCCATTTTGCCACATCTCCCTAAAATTTCTAATTTTAAAAACATTTCTGCAAATCTGACAGGTAAAATGTGTCATTTCTATATATATTTCTTTGGTCATTAATGAATTTGAGCATCCTATTGTAACATGAGAGCAGTGCCATTTAAAAGGAGCTGATGACATGGGTTTAGAATCCCTTCCCCCAAATGTATGTGTTCAGCCATGTATTACTTTCCTGAAACTATGGGAGAAAATGATCCTTAACAGTTTCTAGTAAGCAAGACTTGGTAAATAAGTATAAAATCATGTTTATTTCCCTCATTAATACATGTACCATTTAAGTGTTTTCGAATCTTTTTTTTCATTATTGTCCCCCAAGGAAACTTTTAAGACATTTTCCCCCAATTTTGTCTCCAATGATATTAATATTTTGATACCATAGGTAAGCTGTACATTTATTTATGTACAGTGGCCCTTTGGGGGGCCACAAACATTATAATATCTAAGTTTTTACTGGCATTTCAAAGAACCAATTTTTGCTCCCTTTGGGTAATACTGCCCCCATTGCAAATGCATGGTCAGTGTGTGTGTGTGTATTGATATTTGGGGGAGGAGGGGGAAAAACTTTGCTATGCATGAATAATTACTTGGGTTTCATAGGCCTCAGAGAAGAAGTCAGTGTTTCTGTTACTTTGTCAGGTTGTCCAGAAGGGAACATTAGGTTTAGTAATTGCCACCATTACTTCACCAATCTTATCATCAGACTCTAAACATAGTGCCTTGGAGTCCATAAGTTATCTAGAATATTCTAGGTACAGTATTTCCATTCTTGAGGATGTTAATATACCAAGGGCACAATTGGCATTATTGTAGTTGAAGGCATTTTGTTGAATTTAGGGAACAGTATCTCTAATGCATTAGGAATGATAGTAAATGTTCAAACCTCTATCCCAGTGATTCTCTAACAGTGGTGATTTTGCCTCCCAGGGGACATTTGTAATGTCTGGGAACATTTTTGGTTGTCACAACTGCGGGTGTGGGTTATCTACAGGATGGAGTCCTGGGATGCTGCTAAACATCCTGCAATAGACAGAGTCTCCCATAACAGAGAATTCTCTAGTTTAAAATGTCAACGCTGCTCAGTTTGAGAAACCCTGCTCTATGCTAATGATTGTAGTTCTTGGAATCTGTCTTTAGAAAATGCTCCAAGTAATCCAAGTAATCTTGCTGGGATTTTGGTTTGTGTGTATTTTTTAAGTGGGACATATGTCAGTATATATAATTATGAAAAATGGGAAACACACTTACTTTTTTGAGTCTTATGAAGAGATTTGATTGCCCATGTCAGAACTTTCGTGAATTTCAGGAAAACTAAAGAATTAGAACTCCTTTAGAGATAATTAATTCACCTATTTCACAGCAATTCTTTATATAACACCCTTCAACTTCTCTTTGCCCACCGTGGATCAAAATGTAATACAAAGGATCACTGGGCGTGGTGGCTCATGCCTGTAATCCTAGCACTTTGGGAGGCCGAGGTGGGAGGGTTGCTTGAGGCTAGGAGTCCAAGACCAGCCTGGGCAACATAGTAAGACCTTGTCTCTACAAAGGATCATCAACCACATCAATAGCCTTTTATTTCTTAGGATAAAAAAAAATCTTAAAAATATGTCACTGTGTAAGTGGGTTAAATCTGAGTGTGGGTATATTGAATGTTTTTATATTATTCTTTTTTCCTTTGTTTTTGAAATATTGCAAGATCACATTTTAAAGTAAATATACTTTCAAATTTGTTCATGTTTGAACTGAAGCCAAATATAGAGTTTTATAATAGTCATAATTTAGCAATGTATATATAATAAAATAGTAGTGAATGACTTTATTATAACCACAACTAGTTAACTACAGCAAATAAATTGATTTCCAATGGCTTTTCTCTCTTTGTGTTTAGAATGTTAGGTACTTTCTGAAGGTATTTAGCATCTACTGAATATTAAAAAAGCTGAATGGTTCTTGAAATTACTTAAGCAGTGATTGGGGTGATTGAGTATGATTTGTAATTCTATTAGATGACAAGTTGGTGATCTCCCCCCCATAAGCTAACATGGAAAAACAAATATATTTAGAAAGAAACCATATTATGCATTAAGATAAACAAAATCATTTTATTTCTTACTCAGAGAAATATATAATAGTTATCTCTCAGCCTCTTGATATTATTTGCCTATTTCACAAATAATGAACATTGCAAGGTGTTTCATTTTGGAAAAATTATTTATTTAAAACTAGTTAATGTTGCATTTGTACTGAAATTTTTTAAAAAGTGTTTTCCTCCGAGATTTTAAACATCTGGCCTTCAGATTAGTAAAGGGTGCTTTTTGACTTTGTTCTGTCAAAAAAAATTAAACTTAACATGAGTATTTCTTGTATGACAAGTGGCACTATCAACATAAGCATAATTAAGCATATCTTTCTCTAGTTTATGTCAACAACTGTCTTGTTAAAGAAAACTGCCACATGCAGATCTGTGATAACTTATCCTAATGGAAGGAATTTTACTTGAGTTTATGGAATTGTCTTCTGACAAAAATTTGACTAACATAAATGTTTGGTGGAAGAAGCTCTATTAGATTATATTAAAAGAAAATTATTTTAGATTTTGAGGCTCTACTGCTCAGGGGTACATTTCAAGGAGATGCTGGCCATTGCTTGGAAGAGATACTGCCAGCCGTTAAACTTGCCAATGGGTTGTTAGAAATTTCTTTTAAGTAAGGAAAGCATTGTGTAAGACCATCATGTAGTGAAGACATTTAAATTTCTGTAATGGTTTCAATATTTGGAGGATTAGATTTTTTAAAAAGGAGTGGTGTCTAGTGTAACTAAATTTAGATTATGTTAAATAGGACATAAGGTCATTTTCCTAAAATAAGTCATTTAGTGAATTGTTACTATTGGTCCTATATCAAACCAAAGTTTAGACCTGAAAGCAAAGGGACTCTAGCTCAGAGTGCATTCTGCTTAGCAACCAGCTTGTTGTCTACTGTTTTGCTACTGAATGCACGTACTCATGCCTCAGAAGTGTATCTGCAGCCAGCTGGACTCAACCGGACAATACTTCATTCACCTAATTTCCAGACTAGTCAGGCAAAGACATTGTATTTAATCATGAGTAAGTTTATTTGTAAACTTCAAGTAGTCGCACATTGATCTCAAAAGCCCCTGAAGTATGAGAAATTGCCTTCTAATTCAGGAATGTAAAGTCCTTGGAATTCAGAACTGCTTCACTTTATTTTTTTTTTTTCTCTTTTAACAACCCATGCAAGTATATTCTTTCAAAAACATAACTTCTAAAATCCTAAAAAAGAGAAATTTAGCTCTCAATAGAAAAGGTACTTTGAATTTAAGAATAGTATTAGAATTATCTTAAAATGAAAATTCACAAAATTTTATTTGCATTCAAACTTTTATTGTCTATCTTGATCCTCACATGATTATTTTCTCTCTTAGAAAACAACAGTTTTGTTGGCATGTGAAGCTCCGATTTCCTCAAAGTCAAGCTGAATATATAGAAAAAAGGTATTAAATCACCACTGTCTATTAAGAACTGATTTGTATTTACTTTAAGGTTCTGTATTTAAAACAAACTGTTAACGAAATGTATGTCAATAATAGAATAGATAACTAAGTTGTGGTATATTCATATAATGAAATGCTAAACACTGAAAATGAATGAACTATAGTTATGCACATCAACATGGATGAATCTTAGAAATACTGTTGAGTGAGAAAAGCAAGTTAAGGAAGAATGCATAGAATATGATTCTGTTTGTAAATTTGAAAAAAAACCAGAAAACTAAATAGTATACTTTTTATGAATACCTACAAAGGTGCTGGAGCTAGCTCTAAGGGAAATGAGTAACACAGAAATCCTGATGATGGTTACTTAGCAGGGGAGCCAGGTATTAAGGGAAGGAGGAAAGGAGAATCAAGAGGGCTAAAAATTTCCTGTTTCTTAAGCTGGGTGGTTTGTATAAGAAATGAAAAATGACCCAAAATTTTACTGTGCAAAGATTACTACTATTTATGTTATAGTATATCCCTCAGAAAATACATTATTTTAGAAATTATATGTGTATACTCATAATGGGAGTTAATTTGCTTAAGTATTTTGTCCTTTTTTCATATATAAACATTTTCAACTGTCATTTAAAAATTTTAATGATTGTGTACTATTTAATTCCTTCGGTTAGGATAATTTTAAAGTTGCTGTTTAAGTAGTATAGTTAGCATATATCCACATTATACGTGAATGTCCTCTCTTTATAACCATTACATGGATTTTAGTGAAGAACTTCGTTATTTGAAGTCACATAATAGACTAATGACAGGGAAAGGACTTACTTTGTAGATAGGGATATGTAGCCAATAGTATATATAAATATGTATAAATGGTTTAGGAAAGTTCCTATTTTAAAAGTGCCTTAATTTTGTTTATACAGCTTTATGTATAAGTTTGTAACAGTGTGCGTGTATAAAGGAAAATTGGAAAACTTAAAATGTTTTGTTTCCAGGAAAATTAATGTCAATTTTTAACCTGGTTTTAGGATTTAGAATAAATAAACTTCAACATTGACTGAAATTAGCATCATCTGATTTTTATTTCTACAAGTTTCAAACCTATTTTATCCTGACTTCTTTCTCTTCATGTTTGAGTACAGGTGTGTGTTAAAAGAGGCTTCATGTTTTTATAATTGATTTATAAGGAGCTTCTCAAAATGTTGTTTTTTAAGACCTTGTTAAGTGTGTCCAAGAAGTCTTTTTGAGCTTTTTTCCTAAGTAATTTTTGCTTAAAAGGATGTTTTATTTTGCCAAGAGTAAAATAAAAGGTCTTTGTTCAGTTATTTAAACAAAAAGTTCATAACATTTAGGAATTCTAATTTAACACCTTTAGTAGAAAATAATAAATAATAATATAGCTGGTTGTTTTTTCTTTATTGGAAAGAGTACCAGATGATAAAACTATTAATGAAATCCTAAAACCTTACATTGATCCTGAAAAGGCTGACCCTGTAATCCGTCAAAGGTATGTTTCCAAAATCTTCTAATTTTCTGAAATATTTATAAATGTTTAAGTACTTGTTATGTGTATATTTATTAAGTAAAGCCATGACTATTAACATGTTATGTGTCAGTGCAATTTACTTTCTGTCCCATTTCCCTGGTGTTTACTGAAGGTCAGTCAGTATAAGTAGCAATAGTAGCTTACATTCACTGTTTACTGTATTCCAGGCACTCTTCAAAGCAATAATAATACAAGTATTAATTCACTTAATCTTCACAATAACTCCATAAGGTAGATTGCTGTTATTATACCCATTTTACAGATGGGAAACTGAGCCTTAAAGCAGTTAAATAATTTCATATAGCTAGTAAACAGGGAAGCTGAGATAAACCCAGGCAGTTTGGAGTCAAAGTCTATACTCTTAACCCTTAAACTAAACTGCCTTTCAAGTTGAACCAAAAACTCTGAAAATTAAGAGTTTTCAAGTCCTGTTTCAGCCAACTCTTCATAGAACTAAGTAAGGTACACTCTGCCTCCTATCCAGAAATACAACATGAACAAAAGTGGTTAACATAGCACTGGAAAGATTAAGTCATGGATATCTGGATTAGAATAGCTGGTTCTGTCCTTTATTAGCTATGTGATTAGGAGCAAGTTACTTAATTTCCAGGCCTTAATTTTTTCCATTGCCGAATTAAGAATGATAATACCTCCTAGATAGAGTTGTTACGAAGCTTAAAAGAAATAGCATACATAAAGTATCTAGTACAGGACCTAGTGTATAGTAGGCATTACTCAAAAAAGGAAACTATCATTAGAGTGTGAGTTATTAGTGCTCCTCGGCAGGAACCCAGTTGACTTTATTTTCACCAGATGGTACTTGCTTGGGATATGAATGAATGTTTGGTTTGGTTCCAGAGTAACCTGGTGTTTAACATTTAGAATGGGTGGATTCTAAAATGTCTGATCCAGTTCTAATTAAATCTCATTCTTTTGCTTCTGATAAAAGGTAGTACCCTGACTGAACCAGACCCATATCATATATTAAGCAGTGTCTTAATATATGCAGGACAATTAGGATAGTTGAGTTTCTTTCCTTATAATTGATAATATAGTTATCATTAGTCATATACTTGGCAGTAAGACAAAATATCTGTCACTAAATTGTATACATTTTTTAAAAATAAATATATAAAATAGCCAGATTAATTTAATTTACTAAAACACATATTTTTAAATTTAAGATGTTATTTAAACAGAGAAGAAAGGTGATTTTTTTCCCCCCAGATCTTGGTTAGAAAACATCTTTACCTCCTTTTGTATGCTTGATAGATGAACGTTAAGTATTATTAGCTATACATAAATGCTTAGTCTTCATAAGACTATCTGAAATATACTAAAAATCAATTTTGCTTCCTTCAATATGATGCTTTTATTTCAGGTTAAAAGCCTACATTCGCTCTCAGACTGGGGTCCAAGTCTTAATGAAGGTTGAATATATGCAACAAAATTTAGTAAGGTAAAATTGCTCCCCTCCTCATTTCTTTAAATATTTTCTAAGTCTGCATTTTAAGCAAGTAGCTTGATTAACTCAAGTGGCACGTTGTTAAATTAATTATCTGACTATCACTGTTACCTATGCTTTTTTTTTTCTTTTTTTTAATTCAGGATATTATGGGGATACAAACATTTTGGTTACACGAAATGCGTTTGCCTCGTTCAAGCCAGGGCTACAAGTGTGTCCTTTCTCCGTACAGTGTGCCCCTGTTTCCATTAGCTGTGGGTTTGCCCTCTCCCACCTCCTCAGCCTCCCACCCCCAACCTGACCGGCACCCAGTTGGGTATTACTACCATGTGAGCACCTTAGTGTTGATCAGTTAGTACCAGTTTGATGGCGAGTACACGTGGTACATGTTTTTCCATCCTTGTGATACCTCACTTCGAAGGATAGGCTCAATCTGTATCTAGGATAATATAAGAACTGCTAGTTCACCATTATTTTTTGTAGTTAACACTTTTAAAAATAACTTTCAAGTCAAAATTCAAAAATAATCACATTATAGAATAAATTTAGTTTAAAAATTACCTGGTTAGAATATTTTAAAATACAGGCATATATTGTTTTATTGTGCTTTACTTTATTGCACTTTGCAGATATTGCATTCTTTGCAAATTGATAATTTTTGGCAACCTTACCCCAAGCAAATCTATCAGCACCATTTTTCCAACAACATGTGCTTATCTCATGTCTCCGTGTCACATTTTGGTAATTCTCACAATATTTCAAACTTTTTTGTTAGTATTATATTTGTTATGGTGATCTGTGATACAGTAGTAACACTTGGTATTATTATTATAATTGTTTTGGTCTACCACAAACTGTGCCCATATACGATGGTGATTTTAATTGATAAATGTTACATGTATTCTGACTGCCCCACTGACCGGTAATTCCCCTGTTTCTCTCCCCTTCCTTGGGCTTCCCTATTCCCTGAGATACAATAGTATTGAAATTAGGCCTGTCGGTAGCAGTCCAGTGACCTGTAAGTGTTCAAGTGAAAAGAAGACTCACACGCCTCTCACTTTAAATCAAAGCTAAAAATTATTAAGCTTAGTGAGGAAGGCATGTGAAAAGCTGAGATTTTGACCTCTTGTGCCAAACAGGTAGCCACATTGTCATTGCAAAGGAAAAGTTCTCCAAGAAAGTTAAAATTGCTGCTCCAGTGAGTAGCACTTATTGCTGATAAGGAGAAAGTTTTAGTGGTCTGTATGGAAGATCAAACCAGCCACAACATTCCCTTAAGCCAAAGCCCAATCCAGAGTATGGCCCTAACTCTCTTCAATTCTGTGAAGGCTGAGAGAGGTGAGGAAGCTGCAGAAGAAAAGTTTGAAGCTAGCAGATGTTGGTTCATGAGGTTTAAAGACAGAAGCCATCTCCATAAGCTAAAAGTAGAAGGTGAAGCAGCAAATGCTGATGTAGAAGCTGCAGCAAGTTATCAGGAAGATCTAGCTAAGATATTGATGAAGGTGGCTGCACTAAACAATAGATTTTCAATGTAGAGGAAACAGCTTTATATTGAAAGAAGGACTTACATAGCTAGAGAGGAGAAGTCAGTGCATAGTATCAAAGCTTCAAAGGACAGGCTAACTTTCTAATTAGGGGCTAATGCAGTTAGTTGATAACTGTAAGTTAAAGCCAATACTCATTTACCATTACAAAAATCCTAGGACCCTACGCTAATTATGAATATACTCTGCCTGTGCTCTATAAATTGAACAACAAAGCCTGGATAACAGCACATCTGTTTACAGCATATTTTCAGCCCACTGTTGAGACCTACTGCTCACTCAGAAAAAAAGATTTCTTTCAAAATATTACTGCTCATGGCAATGCTCCTAGTCACCAGAGTTCTGATGGTGATATGCAAGGAGATTAATGTTGGTTTCATGCCTGCTAACACAACATTCATTCTATAGCTCATAAATCAAGGAGTAATTTCAACTTTCAAGTCTTATTATTTGAGAAATATATTTCAGAAGGCTAGAGCTGCTATAGTGATTCCACTGATGGATCTGGGCAAAGTAAATTGAAAATCTTCTGGAAAGGATTTACTATTCTAGATGCCATTAAGAACATTGGCGATTCATGGGAGGAGGGTCAAATCATCAACTTAAACAGGAGTTTGAAAGAAGTTGATTACAATTTTTATGGATGACTTTGAGGGGTTCGAGACTTCAGTGGAGGAAGTCACTGCAGAGGGGTAGAAATAGCAAGAGAACTGAAATTAGAAGTGGAACATGCAGATGTGACTGAATTGCTGCAATCTCATGTTAAAACATTAACAGATACTGCTGCTTATGAATGAGCAAACAAAGTGTTGTCTTGAACTGGAATCCACTGGTGAAGATGCTGTGATTATTGTTCAGAGGACGACACAAAATGTACTTAAGTGCCATTCATTTATCAACTTAGTTGATAATGCAGCAGCAGGGTTTGAGAGGATTGACTCCAGCTTTTAAATAAAATGCTATCAAATAGCATCACATGCTGCAGTGAAGTATTTCGTGAATCAATAAATACAGTAAACTTCACTGATGTCTTATTTTGAGAAATTGCAACAGCTGCCCCATCCTTAGCAAGCACCACCCTGATCAGTCAGCAGCCATCAACATCAAGGCAAGGCCTCTACCAGCAAAAAAGATTATGACTTGCTGAAGACTCAGATGATTGTTAGCATTTTTAGCAATAAAATGTTTTTTAATTAAGGTATGTACATTTTTTTAGACATAATGTTATTACACACTTTATAGGATAGTCTAAACACTTAGATGTGCACTGGCAATTCCAAAAATTTGTGTGACTTTTTAAATTGCAATATTTGCTTTATTGCAGGGGTTTGGTTCCACACTACAATAAAGCAAATATTGCAATAAAGAGAGAGGGAAGATGGCTTCAGTACCTCTGATGTATGTGTATTTTTACCATGTGCCACTAAAAGATTTCTTTCTTTTTTTTTTTTTTTTTTTTTGACAGAGTCTCACTGTGTTGCCCGGGCTAGAGTGCCGTGGTGTCATCCTAGCTCACAGCAACCTCAAACTCCTGGGCTCAAGCGATCCTCCTGCCTCAGCCTCCCGAGTAGCTGGGACTACAGGCATGCGCCACCATGCCAGCTAATTTTTTCTATGTATTTATGGTTGTCCAATTAATTTCTTTCTAATTTTAGTAGAGATGGGATCTCGCTCTTGCTCAGGCTGGCCTCGAACTCCTGAGCCCAAACAATCCTCCCGCCTTGGCCTCCCAGAGAGCTAGGATTACAGGCGTGAGCCACCGCGCCCGGCCTAAAAGATTTCTTAATCCCATCTTAACTAACTTCAAGAAATATTTTATGCAACATAGCTCCAGTGTTCCAGTGTGTACCTTTAGAAATATAAAAATTCATATGACCAACCTACCGTTGTATATATTGTAGTGGAAAGAGTACTGCATATAAATGGGAAGAGATTCAGATTCTCACAAACCATATGACTTAAGAAAGTTCTTAACATCTCTGGGCTTTGTTCCTTCATTAATAGAATGATGAATTAGACTACTCTAGATGATCTCTGAGAGTCCCCCACAAAATGGACTTTTTGTGCCAATTGTGTGTCAGCATACTAAATTGCAAAACACTGTTCTTTAGAGACCTGTGATACTTTTTTCCTGTTTTCCATTGTTTGATTAACAAAACTGTTAATACTAGATCCAATTCAAACTAGATTTGGTTGATCTCTTTTATGATTTGATTTGCTTGTGTTCCTTAGAAGTTTAAGAGTCTAAGTTGTGGAAGTAAAACTGGATTTGAATCCCAGCTCTGCCTGCCTCTAATTATGTTAACTTGAGTAAATTACATAGCCTCGTTTGCCTCAGTTTCCTCATCTGTAAAATGGAGGTAATAATAATATCTAAGACTGTCATGAAAGATTAATATAATTCATTTAGCACATAGTATATGCATGCTTTTATTACTATTATTAGTACTACCATTACTATTTATTACTATTATTTCCCCTACCACTGCTGATAAATGGATTCTTAAAAAAGATCTACATATAAAATTACAAGACTTTTATAGGTAAGAAGGGATCTTAAACACCAAATCTTGACCACTTTCTTACCAACATATCTCAAATACTTTATAAAAAAAACTTTATGTTGCTGATCATGGTTGATAAGGAAAATTCAAGTTTTCTATTACATAGTCCTTTTCCTAGGCTTCTCAATTCAGTATATTTACATGCAGTTCATGATTTAAGTCCCCATCTTCCCCTGAAAAATTTGGAAAGGATAGAAAGTTCTGTGGTTTCTGCAAAGATAGTTATCCAGAGTTATTACGTCCATGTTAACCAAAGTCAATAGTTCTGAAATTGGTAATCAAACACTTACATAATTAATAACAAGTGCCGATATAAAAAGTAACATTTTTTTCAGTTTTGTTTAGTAAAATCCTAAAGTGAATTCCGTATAATTCATGTTTAAGCAAAACAATTTTCATCATTCCTTTGGAATTTACCTCTGCTCAGTCATTAAATAATTCTCCCTTCTTTTATTATTTGTGTTTCTTCTTCAAATTCAGTTCCTTTCTTCATGTGCACCATATATTATCTATTTAGTTTATTTAAATGTAACTCATGTTCGGTACCATGTTACACACTTGATGAGTATGCTACGGCTTCAGTCTCATAAGCCTGCTAAGAGAACTCCTCTGAGGGTCAATGAGCCAGCTCACTAATCCTGTCAAACTTGACCCTTGGCAAAATATCCTCTTCTTCCAAAGTTCAAAAAATCAGAATTATTTGTGAGAAAAGGTAAACGTGGGATACTAATTATTTTAAACTTTATAATATAGGACAGACTACTTGGGCCCAGATAGCATTTTTTTATTTTTAACTTAGAAATGTGTACTATAAGTCCATGAAGAGTCAAAGTGAATGGAAATCTCAGCTTTTCCTACCATATCAGGGTTTTCTAGAAGAGTGGCA